TTTCTGCAAATGTGCCTGCCTTCAAACGATTTTGATCAATGTTCCGAGTAAGGTTTTTGAAACATCTTTTTGTTATTCTGATGCTGGGCAGACTTCAAAGAATGAACACAATACAGCCAGCATTAAGCACTTGTGTGTTAAGCAAATACAGGAAGAGAGAGAATAGGAATCAGGTTGCTTTGAATAAATGCATTGACATCCCTAACTGTCAAATGGATCCTTATGTCCACTCTACCCAATTCTGACCAAGAGGGATAAGTGTTTAAGAGCACAAGCCTATATCCTACTAAGTCTACTCACATGGAAGCCCAACTGGGTGGTGAGGATTCTTCTCCTGGGCAACAATAAGCTGAAGATTTAATACACAATCCTCCCACCAGCGTCTTCTTGGTGGCACTGTCATTCCTCCAGTTGCACGGGAGAAGAACAGCTAGCCAGCCTTTGTTTCCACAAGGTTCATGAGAAGAGAGGAAGTTGTAGGGGCATCCCATTTTACTCCAAGGACTTTAATTGCTTCGTCTGCTTCAATGCAAGCTTGTCAAATGACCCAGTAGGTGTTTGAAATTGGCAGAGGTTTATTTCTTCTTCTGAACAGCCCTGGGCCTTGCACGCCAACAAAAACAGCATACAAAAATGAATTATATTACTCACAAAATGTCTGTATTAGGCAACTTTGCATGCAAAATATGTATATCAGAATAAGTTCATACTAAAAATAAATAAATGCAAACCAATATCAAAATGTGAAGAATTGAATTTAAGGTTGGAAAAAGTAGAAACTGAGAGAAATGGAAATGACAGATTTTCCCCTCCACTACATGTGGATGCTCCACACCCCCCCCCCAAACCAAACAAAACTAAAATTGCCTGGGACACTGTAAATACAAAGCCATTGAAAAGTGTGAAAGCACCCAGAATATTTTTGCAGGGGGTTGTAGTGCGAGAAAAATGGTTTATGAAACTAGTTTCATGCTTCCTTCGATTCTGGCCATACAGCCTTCCAAACATGCCTGTGGACTTGAACATTTGCCTATGATTGTTCACACCCATGGTTTTCAACTCAGCCTCTCTTTGTCTACCTTTTTTCATGAGTCCCTTTACTTAGTGCTACCTGGTGAGGGTTGCAAGCATGCTCTACTCCAATGAAGAAGAAGAAGGAAAAAAGAAATCCTTCCACAGTAAGGCTAAGAATACTTCAGATTCTTAAAAGTCACAGGGAGAGGCTCTCTCCCTTGAACACATGGCATTCTGGCATCTCTCCAGGACAATATGTCAGAGCCTTCAGCTTCAACAAACTTGGCAGCTTGTGCTATGTTGTGTCTGTAACACCACATTTGGCCAGAGGCCAAATCTACACTGCTTTGCTTAACCTTTTAACCTTCTGCAGAGTGCTTTGGTGACCCAGAAGCCTTCAATGCTGCAAACATATGCTTAGAATGATATGGAGCAATGGCAGGAAAGGAAGAAAACAATCTATTATATGTCAATTTCGGAACAGTTGCAACATATGGAGCAACTTTCACAGGAACATTTGTAGAGAGGGGGGATGAGAATGTGAAATTTGATGTGAAATTTTGCCAGGAAGCAACAGAAGCATGGCTCCTCACCCTACTCTCTCAAGTCACTCTCAGTTCATTGTGGTTGGTTGCTGTCTGTTAGTTAGGTAGGTGTGAGAAGGGTGTTGCTGTTTTGCATTGAAATGCAAAAATATTTCTGGCTATGGTACCATTATCCAGGCGTTCCTCTTATTTTGAACCGACTCAGGTATGGAAATTTGCAGCTGAAGAAGGATCACAGGTAATGAAACAAATAGGGCTTCATCAGAGAATCAGATAAACGGAATGTTTTCCATGATGACAGCTACAAAATAGGCACTGCTTCACATTATGACAGATACAGCAGGTCACTGAGCTTCTTTGAAAGACATGTATTTACACTGCAACCTCGGACCAGTAGTAACCCAGGTGACGTCTAACTGCCCACACTGTTACGGTACAGCAAATTTTACTCCCATTTAATGCTGCTTCCATTTGACACCATTGTGCCATACAGATATCAGTGAAGTGTCAGGACTTTATTTGTCTTCTGCATTCAGGCTTCTGAGAACAGTTCATCTAACAAATGGTGGGTGGTGGTGGTGTTTTTTTCAGGTTTGTGACATTTGCTCAGGATGTTTGCTAAGTCATAAACACTTGGCACTTGTCACCTGACACCTTTTATCATCTTTTTCAGAGCACTTTAAAAGGTAGAGTGTGTTTTTTTAAAAATAAAACAAAAAGCACACTCTCACACACAGCAAAACAAGCCCTCTCATTTTACAGCTTTAAATGCCTTTCATTTAACAAAGTGCATGTTTTATGAACGCTGGGGTCAGCCTAATGGAAAAATGGGTCGTATTTTTTTTTTCCATGTGTTTTTGCTATCGTGAGGAATTAAGCATAATTGTTGGTGTAAAGCTGTTGAATAAACCAGTCAACACAATTTATGGCTTTGATTTCCACTCTAACCTTTCATGAATGTAAAAGCTACTCTCTCTTTTCAAACACCTTGCTCAAGAGCCTCCTGAGGCAAGCAAAGCCTATTTATATAGGGTTGTACGAGAGGAAGGCGGCTGGCCCAACTGATCTTCCATCCCCTGCTCCTCCACTCAGCCCTTCACTTCCTAAAAACCTTCTCCAGGTGGTTGAGGAGCCCTCCTGAGCTGTGTGGGCTGAGTTGCATGGGGTTGCAGTGAGAGAATGGAATCACCTGTAATCAGGTGAAGGAAATTTGTGTAAGCAGTGCTCCACTACTGGTGCCAAATGCCCAGTTTCAAGTAGTTCCTCGGGCAAGCTACCTTCTGTTCACACGACAATTGGATACAACAAGTGGAGGCTGATCCATTAGGGCAAATGGAACACTGCAGCACCAACCTCAGCCAGCCAGCCAGCCAATTGCCCACCACCTGCCCGCCATCTTTCTTACAGCCTGTCATGGCTCTAGCTCCATCTACTCCCTGCTTTCTGACCTCCCAGTGCTAACAGGTATCAGCCACCACAGGATACATCAAAACTTTATCCAGATAGTTTTACCAACGAGTTTTCATGGATAATAATAATAATAATAATGATAAATTATTTGTACCCCGCCCATCTGGCTGGGTTTCTCCAGCCACTCTGGGTGGCTTCCAATGTTGCACACCACTCCAAACTCTGAGCAGTTACCAGTGCAAGATTACAGGGCTTACCCAGGCTTTGGTTTCCTTGGAATGAGAGACAGCAGGGACTGTGGTGTCTTTAGTGTATGTGGTTTATTTACACATATATACAACCTGAGCTGAAGATGGAAAGATTCACAGCATCAACACCCCAGAAGGTCTTGCTTCTCCCATAATCACAGCCTTAGAATCAAACAGAAATCAAGCATGGCTCTGTCTTTCTGGCTTCTACCTGCCTCTAGCCAAGCTGTTGCACACAGGCTATTGTCCTCACTGCAGCCCTGAACTCCGAGCGTCCTCCAGTATGCACAGCTCTGGAAATGGCATTTCCCTTCTCCTCCAGTGCGCTTCAGCGACATATATCAAATGATATTTGCACACTAGTCTTCTAGCATAACACAGCAAGAAGCGTGAGACATCATAGAACTAATCTATGTATTTATTTACACACTATGTACAGACAAAGGAGTCATGGTGTCCTCTCTATCCAGCTCTGAGAGAAGAACAGAGACAAGTAAAAACATAAGTACAGTACATACAGCAGAAGAGAGAAGACTGTCTTCCATTCCCACACTCTTCCCAGACAGGCATGTGATTTACACCAATCTCATCTGCAGCATCGGAGGCGTGAAATACTAACCCTCACTACCAGCCCGGTGAGGGGTTACAAGGCATCATACCTACCTACTTAATGTAGTATAAAACTTTGTGGATTACAGTCCACTTCATCAGATGCAGGAAATGCTATCATGTGTTCCAGGTATTCACATGGGCTGTGGAGGGATTGTAAACTGTGAGGTCAGAGAGAAATGAAACACAGAATGTGCAGAGACTGTGATGATTATGAAATTAACAGTGATCAGAAACATGTCGTTTTCGTTCTCTTGGCTTTGATATTTCAAGCAGGCCAGATGCAGCCCCCTCAGGGGGAACAATGCTTAATTAATGGATTGTATACAAGGTAAAGGCGCTTAATGAGAAGAAAGTGATTGAACCAATTGTTCAGGTCTTCTGCACATTGCTGCTTAGGAGAGCCATACATGAGCAAGCAATTATTTTCACAGAAGGGAGATCTGCTGTACTGAGCAGTTTATTGAGCCGGGGAAATCTGCTTGCTTCCAGATGCAGAAACTGCACCCAGAACCAGGGAAATGGCTCCTGAGCTTATAGTAACATGCCTAGATGTCTGCCTTTGGCCTAGGTCCAAAGTAACTCATGCCCTGCAGCATGCTGTGTATTTTTTTGTTGTATGCAGGAAAGCTTGTCTCTCAATGGCAAATAAATCATCTGTACTGTCAGGTGGCCAGAAGTGGGGGAAAGTGTGGCTGGGCCCTTTCCACCCTTCCCATCAAGTGACCAAGCCTGAAATAGCTGACAACCTGATAAAGGATGTTCTCCAGAGCCAGCCCTATCATTAGGTGGAGTGAGGCAACCACCTCTGGAGGCATGTGCTGGGAATAGAGATATTAGATGACAGCAAGATGTTGCCATACAGCCTGCCCTGCACCCCCTAAGCCAGCCTATTCCCTTAGGTGCATTGGGAAGCCCTGTTCCCATAACCAGTGCCAAAGAAAGATTCCATTGCTATTCTGGTCAATCTTTGGACATGGAATGGGAGGAGGCACCATTTTGGCCTTTGCCTGAGCCAGCAAAGTGTCTTGGGGCGGCAGTGTCCCTTCCTTTCACTATTCAGCTTCCACAGACTTTTTAGCTAGGTTGGCAGCCGCACCTACATTACACAGAAGCCAACTCTCAGGGGCTGAGGACCCTTTGCCCCTCCCAATAAATATTTGAGGGATCTAAGGCCCTCCAATATTGATGAGCATTGCCATTCAAATGGTCTGCCTGTGTCATGTCTTGTGATCAATTATGTGGGGCGGAGCTTACCTGCCTGCTCCCATATTTTGTTCAAGTTGGTACCCCTGACCACAAATGAATGTTGTAGCCATGGTGCCGCATCCAGAGTAGCAGGAGATCAAGGTCCAAACATTTCTGCCCTTCCTTGCCAAACAGCTGAAGGGTGGAATCTTAAAAGGGCTTATAATCCATTTGGCTCTGTTTATGTTCTGCTGAATATGAGCCAAATGCTCAATTAGCTGCACCTAACCTACATAAATGCCTATTGATTAGGTGCAAAAGAAACCATAATGTCCAGAGTGTTGATTTAGACCAGGGAAACTTCAACATGAACCCATACTTGGGTGAACTTGGGAAAGTCATCGTCTAACCTACTTCTTAAGGGTACTGTGAGAATAAAGAAAGAAACCATATTAGCTGCTGGAGGTCATTAATATCTATCATCTATCTATCTATCTATCATCTATCTATCATCTATCTATCTATCATCTATCTATCTATCTATCTATCATCTATCTATCTCTATCATCTATCTATCTATATCTATCTATCATCTATCTATCTATCTATCTATCTCTCTATCTAACTATCTATCATCATCTATCACCTATCTATATCTATATCTATCTATCTATCTATCTATCTATCTACCATCTATCATCTATCTATCTATCTATCTATCTATCTATCTATCTATCTATCTATCTATCATCTATCTATCTACCATCTATCATCTATCTATCTATCTATCTATCTATCATCTATCTATCTATCTATATCTATCTATCTATCTATCTATCTATCTATCTATCTATCATCTATCATCTATCTATCTAATCTATCATCTATATCTATCTACAGTTCTGCACTACTTTTACCAGACCGCTTTGCCCTTTCACGTAAAACACTAATATTATTTTGTGCAATGAATTAAGGGATGTGTGGGAAAGACACCCCCCCAGGTATGTGTCTTGCACTAATTCTTGGATTTTATTTTATTAAAAAATAAGATGTCTCAACTGTGGAGGAATACTCAGATTTGCTTCTGCTTTGTCTTTTTGACAAAATATCAGTAGTTATGCAGGGGCCATCCACACAGCAGCAGTGCAGGTCGAAACATCAGGCTCAAACTCCAGGCTCCCTGGTTAAAGGGCTTTAGATACTGAAGTTGCTCTAAAATCAGAGTCGTGTACATTCCTACGCAGCTTAGTTCCTGGGGCCAATCTGATGCAATTATGTTATCAGTCTAAGCGAAGAAAGAGCATTCTGCCCTGGGGGAAGTGTAATTATACTCAGGCTAAGCTTTGCATCAGGAAATCTCAACATATGGGGAAGCAACGAATCGCTGATGCAGCTAAGCCAGAGTCGTGCTAACCTGGTTTGTCCGATGAAGGGGTAGACAAATGTTCTTTTGTCAGTTTCTCCAGAGAAGGATGAACCTATAAGATGACACATAAACTGCTCATTATTTGATAAACTGGTTTCAGTGGCATTCTTTGTGTCATTCTGACCCACCTGCCACCCGTCCATAGTGCTCCTAATGGAGTTAGATAAGCTGGTGAATATATTAAAGGCAGATGAAAAAAGTGACATCAACTTCTTTAGGTGGTCTGTTGAATGGCAAATTTTCTGTACTTAAAATGAAAAGTAAAATGCTGTGCGGAAAGGGGATTTCTTACCCCAGTCCCCACCTCCAAAAGTGTATAAACAGGAACATAGAATGGTCCTTGCACAACTTGTGACCTACTAAGCTAAGCATACTGTGACCTGCCAGGTGGCTGAAAACCGACCAGCTTTTTGTAGCTGCTGAAGTACAAGCTGAGGAACAAAACCAGAAAGTGAATTGAACCCCTTCCATACATGGCTCATGGGCTGTGAATTCGGGACCACCGGAGCTAAGCTCTAAAATGGCAAAATAGAACTTCTGAGTAACCACAGTCACCAATTGTGCTTATGAAATTAGAAGAAAGAACTTTCATGGCAGAAAGCTGCCCTTTAGGACAGGCTCAAGCCATGGAAATGGCCACAGCTCAGTGCAGATGCACAAACATTGCATTCAGAAGACCCTAGGTTCAATCTCTGTAATTATCCTGTCCCCACATAGACTGGAGAAAACGCCACCTGAAGCCCCAAAGAGCCTCTATGAGTTAGGTAAACCAAAGGCAGCTTCCTATTCTCCTCTCAGAAAGTAAGGCTGATATCCTTTGCCCCACTGGCCTGGGAGTAGGAGTGGAGGAATCTGTTGATTTTGCTTTCTCTCGGTTTCTCATTTTTCCACCCTTGAGTTCACCAAATTTCTGTATCATTTTGTGACTATTATTATTAGTCCTCATGAAAATTCAATATTTCCAGTATTTCAGCATTTCAGTATTTCTCATAACACACAAATTTTCACATATGGTTTTACCTCATATATACGATATACGATATCTTTATTGTCATTGTCCCATAGACACATCTTTGCAAGCAGTTGCTCCTTATGCTTGTATAATGCATTTCAATAAGGTATGCATGTTTACACTCTAGCGTAAATAGCATATGGCCTTTTTAATGCTCATTTTTCATTAATACACATCGTCATACACATTTTTTTTGCTATTGTTGGAAAATTCCATGGAACAATTTGGAGAAGTGTGAATTTTGAAGGAGAGCTGCATTTTAGTTCACAAATGGTTTGGGGAAGTGTGAATTAGGCTTTGACTGAGACTGTTCTGCAAGGGTCTAGGATGTGGGCTCAGCTATACACCTTGAGGTCACATGTTCATGCCAATGTGTGGATGGCGTGGGCTGGTAGGAATGGCCTGCAATCAGAGCAGGGTCAAAGGCACAGCCCCACAACCTTTTCCTGCACACTTTTGCCCTTCAGACAATTAACATGTGAAAGGGACTTGCAGCTTGCACTTATCAAAATTCTACTGCATAGCGGGGGGGCAAAAGTATTTGCAGTGATGTATAAATGGAAATGTTATATACACAGAGTAACATTGACATGAGGCAACAACACAAATTTTAAAAGCCTCAGTTGTTTGGATGAAAGCTCTAATATGTGTCTGAGTGAAATAAACTACATCTTTAAAAAAATGCTATTTAGAAACAGCTCTGTAAGAAACAGAGAGAGCACAGCTTGCATTGATTTGATTTGCACACTGCCTATTCTAGTATAGCCAATATAGCAATTTTTTTCCTGTTATTGTTTTAAAGCAGACTATGAGGGGAAAGCATATAAACAAAGCACATTTATTTCTTTTTGTTCCATTTCCTTTCACTCCCCCAGTTATAAATCAGATAGCTGGGCTCCCATCTGGAGTTATTTTTATTTGGAGAAACTGTGCCACAGTATTAAAGAGCACACATTTCCAAAATATGCAGAACGCCTTGTATCTTTTTTTTTATTTTTTATTTTTAGGTGAGCTGAAATCACCACATATATTGGCTGTAGTAGGTCACTGATGAGGTGGGATTAGGCCGAGGGCTGAAAACTACTGAGGCCCACCAGTCACAAAATGGTGGCAGAAGACAGAGTTTGGCACAATCAGCTGGCAATTTCAGCCGAATTTTCCGCTGATATGTAATCCATTTTGGGAGACTGGTGAAATATTTGCCGTAGCAATTTCCTTGTGGTAAGGAATCCCACAGTTCAGCTTTCCTTGAGCTATGGACAGACATTGGAATTATGACTCAACCTCCCTATCAGAATTTGCTGATCTAGAACACCTTAGTGGAGAAGACTTTCTACTTTTATATTTTCCTGCTCCGTATGCCTTTCAAAGTATACTTGATTAATCTTGTGTAATCTTCTTCCCTTTTCTTTTCACACTTCACTTGAAACTTTCCCCCTCAAACCACCAGTCCCCCCCCTCCCATCTCTAGCTTTTAAGATTAAAAATACTGTGGCAGTCTGCTAATATAGGATTCTGAACAAGCATGATGACTAACTGACCAAACTGTCGCTGTGTGACAGGAACAACCGATCTTCTAAACTTTAAAAAAGGTCCATTGCTAACCGTTTCCTATGTTCCAAAGTTTTGTTTCTGTGGCGCTGAAACAGATTGTGCCTGGGAGGAGAGATAGGATGTATGGAAATATGGTATTATTTCAAGAATTAACACCTTCTTAGCTAAAATGAGAGTAGGAAGTAAACATGTAACAGTAAACATGATCTTGCAGTTATCAGGACTAAAAGAATCTCCCCCCCCCTTATTTGAAGTTCACATATCAGTTCAGATTGTATCTGGAACTATTAAATTGGCAGTGACTCAAGAAAGCTTTCATTTCCTTGAGGTTTCAGACCTTTTTTTCTACTGTAATAGTAGGTAGAGTTCACAGTGTTATTTGGGACAGAGAATTCTGTCACTGTGGAGGAGGAGTTGGGGGTCATTTGCCACATTATCTTCTTGAATGCACTTTCATCTCATCTCAAGTATGCCTCGTTTTGCTATTCCTCATTTTCATAGAAAAAAATCCTTTCTTCAAAGAACTCCAAAGCAAGAACCTTTCTGGGAACATATTAATCCCAAAGAAACTTGGAATGCTAATAATTTAAAGCACATGACTTTGCCAGAGAATGCTGGGAACATTGGTCCAAGGGAACTAGGAATTGTAGCTTGGTGAGAGAGAAAGTATAGTTCCCCAGGATTCCTTGGACAAAGTTGTGTGCTGAATGTGCTTTAAATGTGTGGTGTGGATCTGTCAACCGTCTCTTGCTACAGAGCAAGTGGCTTATTGCAACATAACCTTATTGCTTCATTAACAGCTACTTGGGTAAATCGGGGTGGGAGGTAGGGTGCTCTGTAGTTTTTGCAGATTCCCAGTGTTTGGGTGTGGCCACTGAAATATTTGTGAGCCACTGCTGCATATACAGGAACACACCTGCAGATTTGTAGCATGAATATTTAAGGTAAAATAAAGAGCTAATGGCAATCGCTTGGGGAATGGAAAAGAGGACAAAGAGTTAACTCGGCGCTACCAGATCTCTGGCTCTCATATGCTCTGTGAGGGTTGGGAGTTTTTTTACTTCAGCCCAACCTGAGTAATAGCTGGCTCCAAATTCATCTGCTGGAGCAAGAGCTTGCATATTGGCCATTGCTCAGTAAGTCAAATAACAGCTGAGAACATAGAACACTATTCACAGTGTGGCTGCGAATACAGTATTTGTGTCTGCTCCATGGGAATCCTGCTTTCGATGTCTCACTGTGGACTTATGTAACCCTTGAATGCGAGGATAGCCAATTGGTGGCCCAGAGGCTCCATACAACTCCTGAGATAATTCTATGTAGCCCCCAGAAGGGCCACCAAAATTTAATAATGGGATGATAACATATTTGTCTACAGTTTTAACTCTGGTCCAGGGGGGGGCGGAATGTGCTCAAGCTTTAAGAAATAAATTTATTCCACACTTCTGTGTCATATATGTCCTTTGGATTTTGTATACAACATGCACGAAGAGACAGGAATGCACTTCCTTGTGGAGAATGCTGTTCTGGATCCCATGTGCACCGTAACTGGAAGCCCTGACTGCTAGATGGTTCCAACTGTGTTATGGAACTTTACTACCCAGAAGGGAGTCAGTTTGTTCAGCAAAATACATTTCCAGACCAAGAATGTTCTGTAGATTCAGCCCCCAAGAATACAGTAGCTGGCCTAATCTCTATACCAATACATAATTTGCAAAGATCTGTTAGGGGTCACTTATTCTGTACATAATGGTTGAAGGGGGAGAAGGTAGAATGTTACTAGAGCTGTAGGGACATGTGATTCATACAGCAACATACACTTTCCTGTGAATCTTGGACAAAATTGAAAGGTCATATCAGAGGTGGGGGAACCCCAGGCCCAGGGCTCAAATGCAGCCCTCCAGGCTGCTCGGGACTTGCCCTGGGTTCTGCCCCTTCACCACATCTCTTACCAACTTTGAGTGCTCTGGCCTGCCTGAAATTTATCATTGAACAGGGATAATGCCTCTTGCTTACTTGGATGAAGGAGGATATATATGTAAAAAATGTGTGTGACTATTGCATTGCTGAAGCCTATTGTCCAAAGGTCACCCATTGCTCCACTCACTTTTGCTACTGGCCTTATCCTCCCCACCACCACCACCATTGGCATGTGGCCTTTGGATGTTTGCCCACAAGGGAATGTGCCCCCCAGGTTTAAAAGGTTTCCACTTCCCTGGGTTACAAACATGGAGACTCAAGCACCAGAGTGGTTGTACAGAAGTGTGTGCTTTGGGACAGAGAACCAAATCCCTAAGCTATTACAGGGCTTAAAAACTCTTAGATGACAAAATATTACAGTATCATTGATGGAGAAGATTTCATACAACAATTATAGAAAGGTTCGGTTTTTTTAATGGATAGATAAGCTTTGCAGATGGACTTTGTCCTCTTCCAGTTTCCCTTCCCATTTATATCATGCCATTTTATTTCTTTCTGTTACATTTTTTATTGAAATATGTTCATGATTTCCGGACTGCAGAATCCGCCCCACTATGTCAAGTTTTAAGAAATCCTCTGCAGATGAAGAACATT